AGATAGATAGATAGATAGATAGATAGATAGATAGATAGATAGATAGAGGTAGCTTTGATTCTCCTTCTCCCTCTGCCTTTATCCCTCCCCCACCCCCTCTCTCATCTCTACCACAACATGAGCAGCAACACCATGAAGAGAAATGTGGCAGGAGTTGATATGTCTAATTTTACAAAATTTAAAAGAAGAGGCACCATTGAAAAGGTCTGGGTGAAGGAGGTATGGGCCATATACACACAGAAGGCCAACACAGGTTCAGTGTGCAGACTATATAAACTTTTTATTTTTCACAAATTAATGAAAAGAGATAAAACAATAAAAAGTAGCAAAGAGAAGAATAGGTAGATGTGCAAAATAGAGAACACAGAATCATCTTCAAAAGATTTATAATATGCAAAATAATATAGGTAGTTGTTTCTAGCCAAATAAAATCTAGTCACGGAATCTAGAAGCTCCTAGGTGTAAACAGGTTCTAGAACAGAATTTTTCCTAAGGAGCATCCTAGAGACAGAAAGCCAGAGTGGGAGAGCTCCAGGGAATATAAGAGTTGACTTTACTTCAATTTAAGGTGCACATTAGGCAAACGGATGATCATTGTATTGTTCTTTATTTTTCTCTAATAGCGTAAATATTTTATAATACCTTTTTTTTAATGGCTAAAAATGTAAGTACTATATATACAAGCTGAAGGAGGTATAGGGATTGTGCGGGGGTGGGGGAAAGAGCAATTTAGAAATGGTCACTATTTAAGAAACTATGAATTCCAACATGTTCCAAAGAGCTCTTCTACCCCCTTGTTTTTGAGACAAGGTGCCATGTAGACCAGGCTGGTTTGGAACTAGTTATAGCAGATGAGGACTTTGGGCAACTGATCCTCCTGCCTCCACTTCCCAAGTGCTGGGATTTGGCTCAGCACTTTACCAACTGCTACATCCCAGCCCAAGAGTTCCATTTGGGACACAAGGGGTGTTGCCAGGGGGCCTTCCCCAGCATAGAGAGGAAAGTGGAGGGTCTTTGGGTCCTGAAGAGGATATAAGGAGTCCTCAAGGGGAGGGAGGGAGTCAAGTTCCATGGTCAGGGGAACTTAGTAGCTCTGACTGTCTAGGAATCAGGCTTTTTCTGTGGCTCTGATCCACCAGCAACCAGGTGCTTCTTTGTTTATACAAGTTTCACAGAGCAAAGACAGACTAATGATTAGCCACGCGGTACAGAGTACATGTTTGATTTTTCATTACATGTGCAGGGTTTCAAGTTCAGTTACAATTAGAAAATACAAACAGAACAGATTTTATTATTTGTGTTAGCCCTATAATTCCAATTTTAAAGAATTTCTCCCCCAAAGCAAACACATTTAATATATGACCTCTTGCTTTTAGGCTGGCAATATTTGTATTTTGAGAGAATTCACTCTGTAGACCAGGTTGGCCTCGAACTCACAATGATCTGCCTGCCTCTGCCTCCCCCGTGCTGAGATTAAAGGTGGGCACCGCCACCACCCGGCAGTAAAATTCATTCTTTTGATATGCTCCCCTTTACAGGCTCTAAGGAAGAATGTTTCCTTTTTTCCAGTTTTTGATGGCTCCCAGACTTTTAAGGGGTTTTGTTTGTTTGCTGGCTTTTGTAGCTGTTGGTTTTTGTTTGTTTTGTTTTTGTTTTTTCAAGACAGGGTCTCTCTGTGTCTTAGCTGCCCTGCAACTCACTCTGTAGACCAGGCTGGCCCTGAACTCACAGAGATTTGCCTGCCTCTGCCTCCTGAGTGCTGGGTGTGTCACTACCGCCTGGTTTTGACTTCGAAGGTTTAAAGCTGCACAAAATTCAGTTCTGTTCTGTCTGTATGTGGACCTCTTCCCTGTGGCTCTGTGTCTCCAATCCACTTCTCTCTCTGATGAGGTCATCAGCCATAGAATGTAGAGCCCAAAGCACCACAACAGTACCTTGAGGTCCTTAGTAACCACATCTGTCATGACTCCATTACCAAATAACACCACATTCGCACGTACGGAGAATTCATTAAGACGTAGACATATTTCTTGGGGGACACAGAGCCACCCAGTGTCAGGGATGTACATCTGTAACTTTACTTTTCTTTGGTAAAGATCAAGTTTAAGAAATTGAGATGGCAGCTGGGGTGGTGGTGGCAGAGACGGGATCTCTGTGAGTTCGAGGCCAGCCTGGTCTACAGAGAGCAGTCCAGTACAGCCAGGGCTACACAGAGAAACCTTGTCTCAAAACAAAACAAAACAGAGAGAGAGAGATTTTGTGTTAGCTGCTGTTGCAGCTTTTCAGAACCTAGATGACTTGAGAGAAGGCCTCTGAGCATTCTTGAGGGGGATTATCCTGATTGATTTAACTGATATGTGAAAACCCGATGTAAGTACTACTATCCTCTTGGCAAGGGATTCCTGAACTGGATAAAAAGAATGAAGCAACCTGGCTACAGGCTCTCTGTTTCTAGGCTATGGATGCCACATGACTGGCTGCTTAAGGCTCCCTCTGCCCTGACTTTCCTGATGAGCAGGACTGTGCCTTGAACTGTGGACTTAAAATCTACTGTAAAGTCTGTATAAACGACTTGACCCTTGGCTGTGAATGGTATCTAGGAAGCAACTTCAGCAAGGAGGGGTTTACCTCATATTTATAGGGGACACAATCTGTCACAATGGGGAAAGCATGGAAGCTGAGGTGGTGGCTCACATTTTTTAATTTAATTTTGTTTTGTTTTATTTTGATTTCAAGGCTTGGTTTTTCTGTGTAGGCCTGACTGTCCTGGAACTTGCTTTGTGGACCAGACTGGCCTCATCCACCTGCCTCTGTCTCCTTAGTGTTGGGATTAAAGGCGTGTGCCGCCACCACCTGGCCACTTTCTTACTTTTATGCAGTTCTATACCCTGGCCAGTAGAACGGGATTGTACACCTTCAGCCCGGGGTCTTCCTCAATTAATCTTTTCTAGGAACATCCAGATGGAGACTCACAGAGAACTGTTCCCATGACAATTCTAAGTCTAGTCAACCTGATAAGGTCAACTGTCACAGTGTTTAAAATGGCTTCATGGATAGAATTGTCTGTAATGGGCACCGTATTATGACTTAACGAGGTTCCTACTGACAGGTGTCTGAGTTTCTACATTGGTAGGTTTCTTTTTAAATAGAAAGTACAACTAAATTCGAGCGTGTGTGTGTGTGTGTGTGCGCACGCGCGCACTGTGGCTATAGAAATTAGCCGTGTGGGGTTATTTAACAATTGCATACAAGTGCATTTGCTGCTCTTCAGTTCCCTGCACTGTGTTGGTCAGTGAACAATAACCTGTAACTCCAGTTCCAGGAGACCTACTGTTCTCTTCTAGCCTCAGTGGGCACCTGCCCTCACATGACATATACTGACAGTCACACACATGAATGAAATAAGTCTTACGAAACAATTATAGATGTTTTATGGAAATGTTTGGCTACTTAAGTTATTATCCCGCAATAAGACTATGCAGTTCTGTTAGGACCATGAACGGCACAACAAATACTGATGACCTTCACAGTTGCGTTGCATTTTCCCTGTGACATCTAAGCATTCTGAGGAATTTGTTTGGCCGTTTTGGTTTTGTCAGCAGCATTACCTTCTCCCTAACTGTTGAGGCTAGAAAGAAAACTCATTATGAAATTCTAGAGTTTTGAAACTGTAATGAAATTGGGACATTCTGTTTTTTAAAGGAGGACACACAAGCATAGACAGATTCCACAATTAGGTTTAGTCAACTAATTAATTATTAGC